TGTTCTCTGTCCATGAGCCATATTTTCTAAGCCTGTCAGCACTCTTGTTTGGACTGTGATTGGTGTAAATCATTCTTATGTACATGAGACCAATAATGGAAAATGAAATGGCAGCAAGGAGCAGGTAATTGATGTTTTCTGCATAGAGCAGGAAACATGCTTGGTTTGCAGTGACCTCATGGTAACTTGTGACTGGCTGCATTGCAGCCCAGAGCTCCACCTCTGCCTACTATTGGCAATTGTATCAACCAGTAACTGCTGTTACCTAATCAATTAGTCTTTCTTTTTATCAGTGCCTATGATTTCTCTTTCCTGAATGCAGCCAATTGCACTGGCCTGTTGGCACTGATGTTCTGAACTCTCTTTGAATTTTATCCTACATAATAATATCCAGAGACAGTCCTCCAAATTGCTTCTGGCTCTTGATAGCCTAAGTCATTAATGAAGACCCCTGTGCTCTCTGTCTTGTGATAACGCAAAATCATTCTCCTGTCATTGAGTGTGGGCTGCCTGGCTGGTAGCACAGAGGTGTGGGACCAGCCACGATCTGTGAGAAATAAGTTATGGCAGCTCAAGCAGAGATCTGGTGATCAGGAATTCCCATGATTTCTTTTCCACAGCTTGTTCTCAGCTTGCCCTCTCTTTCTGGAAATGAGTATTCTAGCAGGTAGTGTTAATTTGCTGTTGTTTGCACAGCAATGAAAGCACTGCTTATGGAAGATGTCTCTGACCCTTCTGAACTGTCCCATCATACCCAGCTTCATATTTCCCCTTGCCATGCTACCCAGAAGGATCTAACATACTCCCAGTATGGCCATGGAAAATGTGAGTTAGCCATGAGGAGTGTGAAACCCATCTTGCAGGGAGGTTGGAGGGGAGATTGCTGATGGCTGTGCCATTCCTGTGCTGAGGAGCAGTGCTGGAAACCACAGGTGTGTGTTAGCTGTGTTTCCATCACCAGAGAGGGTTTATGGTACAGTCACTTCCCCTGTTTCCACGGCGCATAAGGAGGCACCAACAATGTTATATTTACCCTTTTTCTGCCTTCTCTTTGCCACGTCAGTGGTAGAAGAGGTTGCAGCCAGCCAGCCCATGGCATGCAGTAGATCTGTAGTGAGGATGAGCTGTCGTTCCCGTGGGACTCTTGCACAAGCCTTTGCAATGCAGAGCTCAGGTGCCCCCATGACAAGCCTATAAGGAGGTGCAGCTCTGCTGTGTCCCACACACCCACACAGTATTTCTGATCTATCAAGAGCAAACAGATGGCACTTTGTTGTGTGAAACCCATCCTGAGAAATGCGAGCAGCTAATAGTAAACAGGGCAGGGCTTGCTTTTTCTGGGGCTGAACGATGGGGCATGTGGGGGAATAGGAACTCTTACTGAGGGTTCTGGACAAGGTGAGGGAAGCCCAAGTCCCACAGGGGAATGTGGAACACCCTGTAGAAAGGGCTCCAGTGTGTGAGTGCTCATAGATCAGATAGTCCCTGTGCTTTCGGGGTCTGAGGCTTGAGTTGTACCCTCCATTCTCTGCTTCCACCCAGTGACTGATTTTGTCAGTGACTCATCACTTGCATTAACTCTTTGCTTGTTCCTTTTCTCTCACAGGCCAGGGAAGGAGAAGTAGCCATTATAGATAAAGTTCTGGATAATCCAGCCTTGACGTCTAGAGACTTTCAAGAATGGAAACAAATGTACCTTGATCTCTTCATGAACATCTATGAAAGCAGCCCCCGGAGGGACTCTGTTAATGGCTCGTCTGAGGTTGAAGCACTTATAGCCTCGCTAGCACACACTCACTCTTACATAGAAACACATGTATGAAAGTCCCTCTTTTTGTCCATTTGCTACACCCCAGCCCTTTACTTAAGTGCATAAAGTAGTTTTTATATCAATATGTGAGAGCACTAGTAAATTATATTTTAATGTTACTCAGCTGTGTGAAACCTTCAATGGTCAACAACACCACTTCTTTAATGAGGATTTGTATATTTTATATGCTACCATTGCTCTGCTTGTGTTTACCTTCTCTGAATTATAAAACATGATCTTTACCTATTGAAGAAAAGGATTTAAAAGCATTTTTGGAAGACTGTGGCCTTCATGCAGGAAGTTCTACATGCTGTAAAGCTTTTGTTATCAAAGGTCAGTTTTACAATGATATTTTATAATTCCAGTATTGCATTGCATTTTTGGAGTGCAGGTACTGTTTTGGTGGTGGGAGAAAACCAATTTTTATATTCCATGAGAAACTCTAGGATTTTTCTTAAATAACAGGGAAAAGGTGTAATGCAGTGGCTGTGTTTCAGTTTTGTCAAACACATAAAAGGGTGAAAATCGGCAGACAAAAAATGACTAATGTGAGTTTAAGTGTCAAAAGGTTAGGTCTTATTTCCTTGTGCTTTTTTTAAAGCCTGTTGCTTAGGTTTACCACCAGTGCGAAGGGATGCTGGTTTGTATTATAATTAAGACCGAATTGTGTGTTGTCTCTTAATCACATTAGGTTGATTTACCAAAAAAAAAAAAAAAAAAAAAAAGTCACGGTACTGTGATTGATGAAGCTTTTGCACTGAAGGTATCAGTATAATGTGCAGATTTTGCAAAAGAGAAAATATAGACTTTCAACATCATTGGTAGCAGCGTTTCTTTAGACCAGAACAGCAGCAGTGGAAAAAGTTTCCAATGAAATGCTTCAAATCTGAGATGCTTTGAAGATTCCCACAATAGAAAAGGAGTGAATAGGATTTTTCAAGTAGTTTCCTATGTGTTTTCTGAGCTGTGAAATTTGGCTGTATTGTATGCAGGGATAATGTGTGATGAGAGCAGAACTGAGCACGGAACCTGAAAAATAACCGAGGAGTAAAAAGGACTCTGGTTTGCTTTTGAAGGGGAAGGGATGTCTCTGGCTTCTGCTGAGTTCACAAGCCAATTAAAATCTTGTAAACTTCCATGAGATTTGTTATCTGCTGAAGACAACCCAGTGAATATGAGGGGAAATAGCGCCTTAGAGTTAGGCACATGCCTGAAATAAAAGTGGGAGGGAACTCTTAAATCATATATTTACTTTTTATGGACTTGGTTTTGAAAAATGTTAAGAGCATGACAAAATATTTCTGCTGCTCTTCAGTATTTTGCTGCATAAGTTAGAACTCATGACATGATTTAATAATGCTCATGTGGAAAGAAGAAGCCTCCTTTATACTTTAGTGAGTTGTACTCTTAACCAACTTGAGACTATTGCCTGTACAGCTCAGTGAATGTACTTTAAACTTTATGAACTCTGATATTTCCTGGCAGTTATATCCATGAAGGGATGAAGGAAAGAATGGACAGACTTTTCTTTCTTTCTTTCTTTCTTTCTTTCTTTCTTTCTTTCTTTCTTTCTTTCTTTCTCTCTTTCTCTCTTTCTCTCCCCTTTTTCTCTCTTGCTCCCCTTTTTCTTTCTTTTCCTCTTTCTAGCCCTCGTTTTCTACCTTGTTATTGGGTTTAGATTGCAAATGTTCTGCAGATTTTGCACAACTGTACAGAAGAGTGGCCTTTCTGTAGCCCATTTTCAGTAATCCTATATTCAAGTTGTCTGGATGACAAATCATGTACTAACGTTTGTATAGAATTCTGGATCCAGTGTAAGATTTGTACTATTAGAAGAATATTGTTTGTATAAACTGGACATTTATTTACTGCATGGGTACTGACTTGTATATTAAATTTGTGAGGTTTTTGTAAATTTCTCTTTAAAAATGCTTGACTTGAAATGGATTGTGCTATTGTTCCAAGCATTTAGATTCTCTTGCTATTGTTTTACTGGACCAAAAGTAAATATATTCATATGAAAAACTCTTTATATCTGATGGATGTATATGCACATTGTGTAGTTGATTCCTTGTCAAAACCAAGGCAGTTCAGAAGAATTAGATCTGTTGCTATGCAACAGCCATTCTGCCTGCACTTTACATTAGTAAAGTTAGCTTGATTGCTTTAAAGGTGAAAATTAAACATTACAGTTTTTTAAGCTAGTCTAGTGACAAAGAACATGTGTCCTCTCCATTGTGCTGCCTTCTTTTAAGACTATTAAATGTTCTTCTATATATATTTTTATTGTATTAACTCTCAGCCTAGAAAGGGAACACTGTAAAATGAAGTACAATAAATTTAGCTTTTAAATGAACATTTATGGGTCAAGATTCACTTTACTCCATACCAGACTGATTCTGTGGCATCTGACCATTTTGTCTGCATTTCACATATCCATGTATCTTAAAGTGCCCCAGTGTGACTTCAAACACTGCCAGTGTGGCCAAAAGGGAGTGACACTATTGCTGGTTTGTATGTAGGCAGACACTGAGTAAAGACTTCTGAAAGCCTTCAGTTACCTCCCTCCCCTTTGTACTCTTTGATGAAAGTAAACCTTTTATGACTGCAGGGTTCTCTCGTAGCAGTTCAACAGCAATGAAGCATTTTACCCTTAGGAACAGGTGTGATAAAACAGCGTGTGGTGCCAAGGTAAATGCCAAGGCATCAGTAACATCCTGTTACTCCTGTAAGAAGCTTCTTGGAGGCTCAGGATAGGGATACCCACTCAGCTCTGGCCATCTAAGCTAACACAGGGTTTGGACACAAAATAAATGCACATCACCAGTAGCGTGCATCTCTAAAATAATACCCAATAAACATCTGGAAGGTGTTCTACAACAAAGGCCACTGAGAGAGCAATGGCTTCTATCAAACAAACACTGTTTTAACTTTCAGTGGTAGCTGAGTCTACGCAGTGAAAAGTCCATGCTTTCTGTCCAGTAATTTCATGCTGGTTAGCTAAGACATTCTTGCCTAGTAAGCAGTATATCAAGTAATACCTTTTCCGTGGCAATACTTGCTACTAATTCTTATAGGCATCAATTTTCTAGTCTTTATACAGCTCTCTTTCCTTTTGCTTAGCCATAGCATAAAAACTCAATAGCACTTACCAGCCGGGAAAATTACCTCTGATTAAGAAAACAGAAAAGACGGATTATATTTTTTAATATTTGAAAAATCCCACTTGCAACACCTACTAATTGCTATCTAGGTATTATCCAAAAGTCAAGGATTACAATTCTCACTCATCACCTCTAAGCATGCTACTTGCTACATCCTTGCTCAGTGAGATCAGCTTCGAGCTTTATAAATCCTCTATGTGTTTCCTGTGTTGGAGCCAGATTTTTTTGCCTGTTTCCACCAAGCGTTTGGCTTATCCAAGCAAAGGTTCCACTGTCACATTCAGAGCCACTGCAATTTTCTTCTTCTCCAGGACCGTCCTGCTCGCTCATCTCCTGGGATGGATATTCCTCAGCATGGGAGCTCAGCAGTTGGGCAGCTTCTTCTGGTGGCTGTCGCTGTCCTGCTCCTCGGGCACCTCGGAGAGCTGGAGCACGGCGCACTGCAGCCCACACCACGGCAGAGGGGCCTTGCAGATCTCTTCCCAGCCATCGTTGTCGATGTCATAGCCAACCACGTCTTGTGTGGACACCTCCAGCGAGTTTTGCCATTTCTTTCCCCCAATAAGAAGAGCTGTCTCCTCTACCACTGCCAGGCCATAGGAGAATCGATCGTAGACCAGTGGTTTCAACCGAGTCCATTGGTTTTGATCCGGGTCATACCTTTCTATTTCAGAGAAAGGTTCATATAGTCCCAGAAAGGTAAAAATGGATCCCCTGATTGTTGCCATCTGATGCCCAAACCGAGCAATGCTCATTGGGGCACGTTTCACCCACTGCCCTTCCAGTGAGCTCAGAGAATAAACGTCATTGCTTGTGCTGGCTGGGGCCGAGTACTTACCCCCAGAGATGTATATGGTGTTCTTGCAAACAGCACTGGCATGACCATGTATCCTGCATGGCAATTCCCTGGCCTTGGTCCATCTATCCCTGCTGATGTCATAGACTTCCACAGATGAATGCAGCAACCCGTCCTCACCCCTTCCACCAATGGCAAAGATATCCTTGCCTAGGACACAGCAAGAAAACTGGCATCTCTTTTCCAGCATGCCTGTGATTTGGGTCCATGCGTTAAATCTTGGATCATACCGATGGACCTTGTTTGTAACCAATAAGGTCTTTCCAATTTTAGCATCACCCAGGATACCACTTTGTATTTCCCCACCCAGGACATAGAGGAAGTTCCCCACCACACACACGCTGTGGTTCTGCAGCCTGTCCTGCAGCTGCGTGAGGGTTCGCCATTTGTGATTGTAAACATCGAAGGCCACCACGTCGGTGACGAGCTCCTCGCTTGCTGTGCCTCCCCCCAGCAGAATGATCCGAGTTTTTTCGTTCCTCAGTGTGGTGGACTTATCCTGCAGGACAGGCTGTTTGAATACAGATGTGTGATAATTTATTGCTTTTATGATCATGCACTTAATACCTGCTGAGAGGGACACTTCTGACTGTGTGTAGGTTTTTCTCAGCTCTTCCACTGGGATGAGACCATATCTTATGTGCTCTAAAAGGCTGCTTGCATGATCCAGCCTGGATTTATCCTGCTTCAACCACAACAGGACAAGATTCAACAGGCGGCATTCTTCCACCATGGGGAGATCTGGTGACTGAATCACTGCTAGCAAAGACCTGAAGTTCAGCTCAAGGAGTCCCGACAAATCCAAGTCTAGCAGCTTCCAGACATTTTTGATAATGTATTTTTCTGCAGCTGCTAGGGCATCTGGCAGGTAGAACTTCCTGGCCACATTGGCAGAGTAGCAGCAGTTTTCCAAGGCAAGATTGTTAACTAAGTACTGATTGCACAAGCCGATAGCATCAGTCACTTGCAAGTAGCTTGCAGCTTCCAAGGTATCCTCCAGGCTTTCAAAGGAAAGGGGCAGCAAGGATGTGTAAATGAAATCCAGGATGTGCTGGAGCCCAGTGGGTGAGACAACTTGTAGGTGAATGACACTGGCTTTAGACTCTTGGGTATAACTTTTGAACATGGCTCGGAAGTAGTCGCTGGAGCATGCTAACAAGGACTTGTGTGCAGGAAACTCGTTTTCTTTCACTTTCAGCAAAATGTCACAGAGAAAGCCCTCTGATCTCAGGCTCTGGTATTGGGCGAGCACGGCAGTGCAGTGTGCTTTGCAGTAGGACAGGAAGTAGCTCATGGCAGACAATGCAATGCTTTTCCCTTGAGCTATTAGAGCTAAAATGCAATTAGATATTGAAACAGCTGCCTTACTCAACAGCCATTGCTTGAATGCCCAGCAGACTTCCAGCTGTTAGAGAAAAGCCCAACCCAAAAAAAACAAGTCAGTCTCTTCCCTGGCATAGGGGGACAGTTAGTAGATTTGTAGTGAATTCAATTCATTCCTTTATAGAGAAAATAGCTGAATGTATATCAGCTGTAGGATGCTTACTTTTCTCGCCTCCACAAGTTGTGCAAGGATGAAGGGTCCACAGCTGTGCTGAGCACTTGCCTGGCTGGCCATCAGGTGACAGATGAGGGAGCTAGGTGATGGTCCCAATAAATGGCCCTTCGTGTCTGCTCAGCCGTCGCCCCCGACCCTTCTTGCTCCACGGGCAGACCAAAGGGATCCTCTCTGGCTGCCAGCGCGTGGCTCTGAGCAGACACAGATGAGAAGAGAGCGCTGACTTTTCTCCTCTTGTTTGTATTTTGAACTCTGATCAGTTAGACGTCACCACCCCTGGGACAGCAGCCCCCTTTCCGTCCTCTTTCCACACGGTCCTGGGAAGCCTCAGCCGGAGATCAAATCAGCACCCAGGGATTATTACGGGAAGATTTTCTGAGCCCATAAATCTTTCCCCGGCAGCCACTAAGACAACCAAAATACCGTGATTAGTCACTGGTTCGATTTGACATGCATTTCTGGCTCTTTGCTTCACGTGACCCCTCCATAGCTCACAGCTACCAGAATAGCCACAGGCTCATCCCCTCGTCCCCCTCGCCTGGGAGCCAACCCCGGGCGGGCGAGAAATGGGGCCAGGGACTGGGCAGGCAGAGGAGCTTCCAGTGGCAGCCACAGCCAAAGCAGCTGACTTGGAATGACCTGGCTGGAAATGACAAGGGTAACATATTTGCACAAAGTGGTGACAAAAATAGATTCCCCCAGTTCGGCCATAATAAACCAAATTCTGTTTATAGAGGAGGCTTTGCATAATTGTGCTCTCAGTTACCAGCTGGGAACAAGCCCGGAGCCCCCAGGGGTGGGCCAGCACTGTCTTGCTCAACTTTCTCACTTTCAGTTTGTCCCAATTAGAAGCACTTATACAGGGATTATCCCTGATTTTCACCTGGGCACTTCAGGGTCTAATTTCTACCAGGAATAGCAGCTCTGGGTAGGCTACGCATTCTGACCTCTTAAAGCTTGCTTTTATTTCTTTTTTTTTTCCCTGCGTAACTCTGGGTGAAGGTGTTCAGGAATCTCCTCCCGACGCCTTTCTTTCCAAATCTAACACCATCAGGACTTGCAGACCTTGCCAGGGTTGATAAATGCCTGATCATTTTGCTGCACTGTGAGCCAGCAGACTTGGGAGCAGAGAAGGATCCCACAGGACTGGAAAATATCGCTTTTTGCTTAAGCCCAAGGTAAAGCATTTTTACTGTATTTGTTTATATTTGTTTATGTGATGTCATGAAATTCTGGCTTATCCCTGTAGCTGTGTTTGGACCTGACTGGATCCTAATATGGACTGTGCATGCTGTGTGACTGTTCCAGTGAGCTTAAACTGTCTTGCTAAACAGACTGATACCTACACATGCTCTGCTCTGTTTGTGGGGAAGGACTCCAAAAACATTATTTTTTTTTTGTTGCTATATAGCTGTGAAAATTGATTTCCTGCTTGAATCCACTTTCCATCATGACATTATAGACCACAAATCAGGATCTTGCTAAAAGATCTTGCTCTTTGCTAGCAACACAACATGTATGGGCAGTAGGGATGAAGAAGAAAAGGGATGCTTTTTTCTTTTTCGCAGCAGTTTTGCCAATGTCCAAGTTGGGACAACTCTAAGGTATTTCAGGCGTTAGTGAAACTGTGCGGTTGATTCCAAGTAGAAGTAGAGACCAAAGACCAGGAACCTCTGTCACCCCTCGGCAGTCAGGAGTCCTGGTGACGAGGGACCAGGCCTTAAATGCTCCCACTCCTAGAGTTGCTGCTTTCCCCAGTTAAACCCCACCAGGTACCAGATTTCTATAACACAAGGTGCAGATAAATCTCCCCTATTTTGAAATAGCAGGTGGGCACTGCACATCACAATTTCCCTGGAGCCTGAGGTGCAAGTCAACAGTCCTTGTCTTCCACCAGCCCTTAGGCTGTGCTGCCATGGCTGCTCTGACACAGCCAGAAGTGATGCACAGGGAGAAATGGGAAAAACCCAAAACAGAACAGCAGAGGGGCCTCTGTGGCCCAGGCCAGGTTGTCAGCCTCCCTCACTGTGTGACTCCCAAGCAGATGTAGCACAGCAGAGGTGGGCAGTGGCTGGAGGGGGCTGGGGATGCAGCAGCGGCAGAGACCCGTGCACAGAACCAGGCTGCTCTGCTGCGGGCCGGGGTCCCCAGCCCCAGGGCACTGCTGAAGGGCTGGTACCACAGGGCAGCTGGCACCAAGGACACACAGATCAATCCTACCTCCCCCAGATCCAGGTGTACCAGAAAGAGGTCAAATGTATGGCTTGGCCAGCTGAGGCTGTTACCAGCAGCAGCCAAGGAATTATTTCTGATCCCCATATGACACTCCTGCCTCCCAAGTGATGCACTCCAGTCAAAGGCAATGTGCCTTTTCCTCACCCCCAGCACCAGTTTGGCTGGAATGTGTAAAGTACCAGTACAGCTCCAGCCACAAGCTCTGTAATTTGAGAGAGGCCAAACCAGGCTCAGTCTGAGCATCCCTGCCTGTGCCCAGAGTGATTCCATGGTAACCCAACCAGGTGTGCATCACTTGCTCTCCGAATGAATTCCAGCTGTGGGTGGCTGTTTATACAGGTCAGCTGCTGACACTGACTGAACTGAACTGATTTAACACCAGTGCCAGGTAAGAAGGTCCCATAATTGTATGCAGATTTGCTGTGCTATTCTCTCTCAGACCTACTTCATCTTCATGGCAAGCCAGCTAATGAAAGTAGTAAGAATCATGATCCTTATAAAGCTGTTTATTTGCCTGGAGATTTTTTTTTTATTTGGCTTATAATTGAAATAATATCACATCCTTTCCAGTCCCTTGCTCTGGAGTGATTAAAAAAAAAAAATCATTATCAAAATGAGATTTTTCCCTGCTTCACTTCCAGGCAGTTAGCCTTGTCTAACTAGGGAGCCTGCTCAGCCAAGACCCTCCTTTGTCAACAAACAAATTATCTTCCTGCAGAAGCTCAGGTCTCCAGCACCTTTGGAAGAATATTTAATGTCCATTAGGAAGAGAACAGACGGTGACTAAACAGCTGACTTACAAATCCCAGCATGAGACCTAGCACTAAGCAGGATGCAGTTCAAACCAGGATCTTATTTTCCTTGGGTATAATTTGGAAGATCAGATCTAATGTTTCACTCACTAGATGGTGCTTAAAATTAGGGAAATATTAGTGTTTCAATGATGCTGGTTTGTTTGGAATAGATAATACATTTTTAATCATGTGCATCATTTAAACTTTAAATTAGATTTAGATTTCAGGCTTTCAGCATATTTTCTGTTGAAGTGATTGCTCTATTACAGTAGGCAGTCTGAAATAAAAAAAACATTCAGATGTGTGCTGTGAAAAATGCTGGCTTCCACACATGCAGAGGTTTTTTGCTATACAAAATTGAAAAATGGCCCAAGTTGCAATGCCATGTTCAGTTTAATATTTCAAGTAGGACATCAGTTAATAAACAATTTAATTATTATTTTAAATGTTGCAATTTTTTTTTTTAAGGGGAAAGATTATAAAAAGAGTTGTGCAAGTGGTACTAGGCTCATTACTAACAAGTGGCTTACTGTAAAATATTTGTTATAAAAATCCACAGCACAGGATTACAAGGCTACATTTTGTTCCAAAAGAAATTAGTGCAGTCCAGAAGACAACAGATTAGATATTTCAGATGCTTGATAATGTACTGCATGAACAAATAACAGCAAAATGAGCCAAGAAATGAGTATAGCCAACACTTCCTAGAAGTGCTAATCAGAAAGATCATATTGATTTAAGTTGTCTTGTAAAAATCTTTGGACTACAGTCTGTTCTTCATCCTTGAATAATCATTCACAGTAGTATTTGGGTCAGCACATCTATTTAAAGCAAAGGATGTTTAGCCCAGGAAAGCAGTCCTTAAGAGCAAAACAGTAAGAGGGAGGAATTTTCATGCAGTGTCTGGTGAGATCATGTCTGTGTATAAAAGCAAAAGAGAAGGTTCCCAGCTCGCATGGGGTGGGCTGAGGCTGTGAGGTTTCCATTCTGGCAGGGGAGGCTGGGGCTGCCCGTGGCTTTGAGCACTGTCCCAGTGGTGCCCAGAGGACACTGTCCCTGTGAGCTGGGGGAGCAGGAAGGCAGCACAGGGCAGTGCCTCCCCCAGCCTGTCAGAGGAGTTCTGCAAAGCCCCAGAACCCTGTACCCATCCATGTGCCACCTCAGAGGGGTCTGTGTCTGGGGACAGTGCTGGCAGCAGAAGCTTTGAGTGCAAGGCTCCATCTGCCTGTGGGGAGAAAAGAGGTTTAGTAGGGTCAGGAGTCAGAGCAGGGATCCTGGTTTGCTGCAGGACCATGGCTGCTAAGCCATGGCTGCGTGGCACTCTTCTGTGTTCTGTGGAAAAAGAGGAGGAAAGGAGGAAATACCACTGGCACACCTGGGCTGGGAGTGGCCGTGTCCCAGCTGGGTTACTCCAGCACTAGCTACACCTGTGCAAGAAAGCATCCCGTGTCAGATTGTGAAAGGCAACAGGAAATAACAGACTTTCAATCAGACAGTGCCTCATTTATTTCCTCTCCCTGTTTTTTCAGGTTTCGTTTGCCTCCCATGAAGACAGAAGCTGTTCCAGCTTCCACTGCCATCTCAGTGGGTTAGACCTGAGCTTCCCTGGTGAATAAAAAACCAGTTAGAAAATTTTAGACTTGGGTTCCCATTCCAGAGCAACTGCCGTGGGATGAGTCAGGCACTGCTGCCACAGGATAATGAAGGAGAATGTGTATTTTAATGAGCCCATTTCAGAGCAGATGCACTAATAGCTTTCACAGCATCTCGCAGCTGAGGGTGGAGGGCTGCTTGGGGTTCATCTGTTCCTGTGATGGCCAGGTGGCACCAGAAATGCTCTGCATTGAGCCCTGGCTTTCACCCCTGGGCAAACAGTGCTACCTGTGCTGTTGCTGGGGCAGAGAGGGATCTGCAGCCCCTGCCCAGGGGCATCTTCCCTCTGCATCCAGCTCAGGGATCTCACAGACACCTCTGGCTGCTGACCTTGCACAGCATGGGTGTGTAGAGCCCTGGCTGAAGCTGCTCTGCTCATGGGTCCCTTCTGCATGTATGGAAGTCCCCCTGCTATAAAAGGAACATTTCTGACCCCCATGTGGCATTCCTGCCTCCAAAGACCTTGGGGCTGGTTGAGCTGTGTTCCCAACCCTTGTCTGCTTGGGTACATGTAGTGGCAACAGCTGCAGCTTGGGCTGTGTGACCTCTCATGGCAGGAGAGCTGGGCTCTCCCTTCTGCTCTGGCTGGACACAGCAGCCCCTGCACACAGCCCACTCCACCCTGGCCTGATCTCCATGGTGATACATGCATCCAGCACAAAACCCCTACAACTGGGATACACACCTCAGGTCCAAGAAAAGGATAAGGACATGGGGACTAGCCTCCCACAGTTCAATCATCTTTGCATCATTTACTTGT